ATTTTAATATTAAGTATATCCCAAAGAAGAATGAAATAATTAATGAATTGATTTTTGATTAATTAAAAATGAAGAGAGGCTTAATTTGGCTTTGCAGCAGAGCTGGCACCCCTCAGACCTGCCCCAATTAAGGGGTGAACCTCTGGCTCCTCCCCCAGTTAATTAATTTATTAATTCTAACTAGATGAAATAAGAGAAATAAAAGGAATAATAATAATCTATATGATAATGTAAATTATAATATGTATTATATATATAATCATTACAATATAAATATATATTATAATATTAATTATATATTTTTACTTATATATTATTATGCAATAATAACTAATTATCTATATAATTATATAATAATTTATATAATAATAACTTATTAATTATAAATAGATGAAGTAAGTTAAATAAAAATAATAATAACAATTTATATAATAATGCAAATTATAATATACATTTTTATATACTAATGTATATTTATATTATTATATTATCGATTATATGCTTTATTGATTTTATATTATCATTATATAATAATGTACATTGTAATAATTTATTAATTATAACTAAGTGAAACAAGGAGAAATAATAAGGAGCTAGAAATGAATCCAAAATGAGCAAAATCTTAATTTGGCTTTGCAGCAGAGCTGGCGCCCCTCAGACCTGCCCTAATTAAGGGGCTCCTCCCCCAGTTAATTGATTAATTAATTAGAGCTACGTAAAAACAATCAGCAAAATGAACAAACGATAAATGGATCAGAAATAAACAAAGCCCTAATTTGGCTCTTCTGGAGACCCAGCGCGCCCCAAATTGGGAGATAAAGCTGCGCCTCCCTCTCCATTAATTAATTAATTCATTAATTAATTGACTAGAAGCATATAAAATAAACAGGAAATTAATAAACTATAAATCATTAAAGCCAAGGCAAGCCCTGGGCTTTGGGCTCTGCTCGAAACCCAAATTCTGGCCACTCAAGGTCATTAATTACTAATTGACACCAATTAATCGCACCACCATTAACGAGGGATCTGCTCTGCCCCCATACATAATTAATAGCAATAATCACCCGCTAATGAGGGCCCTTACCCTGCCCCAAAACATACATTGATTACTAATTAACACCAATTAATCACAGCTATTAATGAGCCCCTATCCTGTCCCAAAACATACATTGATTACTAATTAATACCAATTAATCAGAGGCATTAGTGAGCTTCTACCCTGTCCCAAACCCTTCATTGATTGCTAATTAATACCAATTAATCACAGCTATTAACGAGCCCCTACCTTGTCCCAAACCATTCATTAATTACTAATTAATACCAATTAGTTCATCAGCTATTAAGGACCTCTACCCTGCCTCAAAACATTTATTAAATAGTAATTAACTTCAAATTAATAACAATTAATCCCAGCCATTAACACAGCCCTACCCTGCCCCAAAACATTCATTGATTATGAATTAACCCAAATTAATTAGCCAATAATGATCCCTTACCCTATCCCAAACTGTTCATTGATTACTAATATTAATCACAGCCATTAATGAACCCCTACCCTGATTCATTAATTCCTAATTAATGCCAATTAATTAATGAGCCATTAATGGGCCTCTACCCTGCCCCACACATTCATTAATGACTAATTA